CCATCTAGGGTCCGTACCTTTCGCAGTGAGGATCTTATTGTAGTGGACAAGCATGTGGTCTTGGATCTGGTACTGGTCACTTAGCCGGCTGCTGTGGCCGGTGCAGAAGGCTGGAGGGGAGAAGAAGCAAATCAATACAAAATGAATACAACCAGCAACCACTATATTAAAGAGCACCTGTCATGTATACAGAGAAATCCAAATTTGGAGAGAACAGAAGAAGCCCAATGCATTTCAGGGGTTCAGACCCCCCCCCACCCCCTATCAGGGACAAAAGGTCACGAGATCATACGACACTATAACATACATGCAGCAGATTGATATTATAAAGGATCACATTAGAAAGTAAAATTACGCACGGAGTATAAAACCATAAAAAAGTGATCTAAAAAAAAAGGTACTTTTTGCAGCGATTGCCACGCGGATGTCACCCCATTGAAAGCAATGAGGCCGCGCGGCGACCGATGTGTGCACTAGCAAGCGATCGGTATGGCTCCGGTCTGAACCTGGCCTGAGAAGGTTACACGTCACTCATGCATCGCGCTCACCGTTGCTTTTCGTGCTCAAATGTCCCCTGAACGGGCTGGACACTCCGCAGCGGGGGATGGAGGGGGCCCTGGAGGCTGCAAAAGGAGTAAAATTGTTACCATGAAGAAGTTCCTTTTATATTTCTGCGTTCTCAAATCATAACGTTCTCCTTCCATTTCACACCTATTGATACAATGGGGGGGGGAATTGATCAAAACTGGAGCAGACAAAATCTGGAGCGGTTGCCCATGGCAACCAATCAGAATCCACCTTTCATTTTGAAATCCTAAGGCTCTGTTCACACCTAGGCGTATCGAACATGCGTTTTTACCGCGATTCGCGGTAAAAAAAAACACGCGCGACAAACACGCGTTTCCGAGGGCTACTTGGCTGTATCCGAATGGAAACGCGCGACAAAAACGCCGCAAAGAAGCTCATGTACCTTTTCAGGCGTAGGCTTTAGTGCTGGTTCACACCTAGACGTATTTAATATGCGCGGTTCGCGGTAAAAAAACGCGCGACAAACGCGCGTTTCCGTGGGCTACATGGCTGTATCCCAATGGAAACGCGAGACCAAAACGCCCCAAAGAAGTACATGTACTTCTTTGGGGCGTTTTGGTCTCGCGTTTCCATTGGGATACAGCCATGTAGCCCACGGAAACGCGCGTTTGTCGCGCGTTTTTTTACCGCGAACCGCGCATATTAAATACGTCTAGGTGTGAACCAGCACTAAAGCCTACGCCTGAAAAGGTACATGAGCTTCTTTGGGGCGTTTTTGTCGCACGTTTCCATTGGGATACAGCCAAGCAGCCCTCGGAAACGCGCGTTTGTTTACCGCGAATCGCGGTAAAAACGCGCGTTACGAAACGCGCGACAAAAGCGCATATTCGATACGCCTAGGTGTGAACAGAGCCTAACTGAACAAACTGAAGAGAGAAGCTGATTGGTAGCCATGCGCAGCTGCTCCGGTTTTGAGGAATTCCCCTCATTGTGTCTTTATTATCACACAGTACATCTGCCTCCGATTGCTGGATCCCTTCCCCACCAATCAACGCTTGTCACAATGCCGAATGATTTGTTTCTTGTGTTTTTCCTTTTGTTTCTTTTTATGTGTTATACAAAGTGAAGGAAAATCGTTGAGGGTCCATTCACAGCGGTTCGCATTATGGCAGCCGGTGTTCTATCAAAGTCTGTGACTGCGTTAGAATGTGTGACCGGTGACGTGGTCACACATTTTAACGTGATCCCGCCCATTTTTTCTGCGGTAAAATATATATCTAGAGGCAGAGCCAGCTGTGCCCGCCCCCTCCGCCGTCCTTTCCGCCAGTCAGCGCCGGAGGATCGGAGCGGGGAATCCAGCACCCCTGGAGAACCTGAGATCATAGGAAGTGAGAATTGTTACATTCATTGTATCTGTTGGGGGGTATAAAAAGCAGCTGAAAGGGTAACAGAGACTTGTGAGCGGCCCCAACCGTCGTGATAGAAGGAACTTTACTGCCTATCGGGCCAATCACAGAGTGCGGAGGAGCCCTGGCGCCATGCTAATAAAAAAATATGAAACTTAATTCTGTGTTTGAAAGTCAGAATTATTATTTTTAATCTCAGAATTCTGACTTCTAAACACAGAATTATGTATCCTATTTTTTTAGCATGGCGCCAGAGCTCCTCCGTATCAGAGCCATGGAGGGCGACTTTTATTCCGATACAATCTCTCATCTCCTCAGTGTCCGTGCCGCTCACGCCAACCAATGAGATGACTTATATTCTCTAAACCCTTGGATCTTAACTGGTGGGTCGGGACCTCGTGCTCTGTGGGTCGGGCCCTCGTGCTCTGTGGGTCGGGCCCTCGTGCTCTGTGGGTCGGGCCCTCGTGCTCTGTGGGTCGGGCCCTCGTGCTCTGTGGGTCGGGCCCTCGTGCTCTGTGGGTCGGGCCCTCGTGCTCTGTGGGTCGGGCCCTCGTGCTCTGTGGGTCGGGCCCTCGTGCTCTGTGGGTCGGGCCCTCGTGCTCTGTGGGTCGGGCCCTCGTGCTCTGTGGGTCGGGCCCTCGTGCTCTGTGGGTCGGGCCCTCGTGCTCTGTGGGTCGGGCCCTCGTGCTCTGTGGGTCGGGCCCTCGTGCTCTGTGGGTCGGGCCCTCGTGCTCTGTGGGTCGGGCCCTCGTGCTCTGTGGGTCGGGCCCTCGTGCTCTGTGGGTCGGGCCCTCGTGCTCTGTGGGTCGGGCCCTCGTGCTCTGTGGGTCGGGCCCTCGTGCTCTGTGGGTCGGGCCCTCGTGCTCTGTGGGTCGGGCCCTCGTGCTCTGTGGGTCGGGCCCTCGTGCTCTGTGGGTCGGGCCCTCGTGCTCTGTGGGTCGGGCCCTCGTGCTCTGTGGGTCGGGCCCTCGTGCTCTGTGGGTCGGGCCCTCGTGCTCTGTGGGTCGGGCCCTCGTGCTCTGTGGGTCGGGCCCTCGTGCTCTGTGGGTCGGGCCCTCGTGCTCTGTGGGTCGGGCCCTCGTGCTCTGTGGGTCGGGCCCTCGTGCTCTGTGGGTCGGGCCCTCGTGCTCTGTGGGTCGGGCCCTCGTGCTCTGTGGGTCGGGCCCTCGTGCTCTGTGGGTCGGGCCCTCGTGCTCTGTGGGTCGGGCCCTCGTGCTCTGTGGGTCGGGCCCTCGTGCTCTGTGGGTCGGGCCCTCGTGCTCTGTGGGTCGGGCCCTCGTGCTCTGTGGGTCGGGCCCTCGTGCTCTGTGGGTCGGGCCCTCGTGCTCTGTGGGTCGGGCCCTCGTGCTCTGTGGGTCGGGCCCTCGTGCTCTGTGGGTCGGGCCCTCGTGCTCTGTGGGTCGGGCCCTCGTGCTCTGTGGGTCGGGCCCTCGTGCTCTGTGGGTCGGGCCCTCGTGCTCTGTGGGTCGGGCCCTCGTGCTCTGTGGGTCGGGCCCTCGTGCTCTGTGGGTCGGGCCCTCGTGCTCTGTGGGTCGGGCCCTCGTGCTCTGTGGGTCGGGCCCTCGTGCTCTGTGGGTCGGGCCCTCGTGCTCTGTGGGTCGGGCCCTCGTGCTCTGTGGGTCGGGCCCTCGTGCTCTGTGGGTCGGGCCCTCGTGCTCTGTGGGTCGGGCCCTCGTGCTCTGTGGGTCGGGCCCTCGTGCTCTGTGGGTCGGGCCCTCGTGCTCTGTGGGTCGGGCCCTCGTGCTCTGTGGGTCGGGCCCTCGTGCTCTGTGGGTCGGGCCCTCGTGCTCTGTGGGTCGGGCCCTCGTGCTCTGTGGGTCGGGCCCTCGTGCTCTGTGGGTCGGGCCCTCGTGCTCTGTGGGTCGGGACCTCGTGTTCAGCGGGTCCCCGTGTGCCTTCCACTTTTCTAGGTGAAAGGCTCCTCTGCCTCCCTCTAGCGCAGCACTGTCAGTCCTTGCACCGAGCAGCCATTTAAAATATGCTGCCCGGTGCCGAGTGTCAGTTTGAGGTGGGACGGGGCTATGGCTGCAAGGGACCTCCATCCATACATGCATCGCTTACAGCTCCCTCGCATGTCCTGTAGAGGTGCCTGGACGGAGTGACATCACATTCTGGCTCCCGGCATCTCTACAGGGCCCACAAGGGAGCTGTACAATGGCAGATCTGTTGTGGGCTCTGTGAAGTCTATGGTGGGCTCTGCGGGGTCTCAGGTGGGCTCTGCGGCAGACCCCGCAGGGCCCACCATAGACCCCGCAGGGCCCACCACAGACCCCAGCTTTCCCGCTACGCTATTAGCGGAACATGTCAGTCGCTGGATACAGTGTGTGCGTTATATCCAGCGACTGACAGGTTACGCAAAAAAAAAGTCTTAAACAGGAAGGGGCGGGGCCAATTTAGTGGAAGGGGAGGTGCTTGAGTTTTGTCTTGCCTAGGGCAGCCCCAAACCAAACTACACCCCCTGGCGATGGGCCTCCATCTGGAGCGCTGCTGGATCTTCCGGGCGGCTCGGCGATGGAACGCAGATGGAGATTTCCTGGAATCAGAGCCGCGCGGAGGATCATCGGCTCCCTCCAGTCTGACACCGCGCCGAACAATGGTGTGTGACGGCCTCCATCTATAATTCATATCTGCCATTCAAAGGGGCGGAATGCGATCTGAGGGAGGGGCGCACCTCTGCGCCTGCAGACACACGATTCACCGCGGATTAACACCACTACGCCAACCCTGCTTTAAAGAGAACCTGTCACGTTACAAATATACAGCTGACATTGCAGATTTGATATGCGCTAATGGTTGTCACCCCGATCCTCCGCTGTGTGTGCACACGCCAGAGAAGCCCCGACCTCCATCTGTATGTGTGACCCTAAAGGGGCCCATTCACACTTGTGCGTTGTGTGGCAGGAATGCATGTGTTGATGCATCATTGTGAATGGCAACCAAATGCACTGTAGAGTGCAACGCATGATGTACCGAAGCGCAACCCGACGCATATACAGTGCAGGATAACACACCCCAATGTTGTAATGAATGGCTGAGTCACGTGATCAGTGCCGAGGCCGGTGATGTGTCGAAAGTGCGAACTTATCGAGTTGTGGGACCGCATGACTTCCGGTTTCCTCAGAACTACGATGTTTGCACACAAAACATGTTGTGCACGAGCGCCATCCACGGCATTGCCCTATACACATAGACCGCAGCAATAAAGTAATAAAATGATGTAGGATGACAGTAAGCCAGCACGTTCTTTATCTCCGGTGCCCCACTCAATATGGCCGCCGCTTGAGTGTGGCACCTGAGATAAAGAACGCGCTGGCTTAGTGTCATCCTACATCATTTTATTACTTTATTGCTGTGGTCTATGTCTATAGGGCAATGCCGTGGATGGCGCTCGTGCACAACATGTTTTGTGTAAAAACCTCGTAGTTGTGAGGAAACCGGAAGTAATGCGGTCCCACAACTCGATAAGTTCGTAGTTTTGATCGATCACCGGGATCCCGCAATGTTGGGGGTTCGCTGCGCTGTAGCTATGGTTACCCCCACGCTCAGGTCACATGATCCGGGCCGGTTGGTCGGATGGCTGTGGATTTTTGCATCGGGAAAACAACCCCGGGATAAGCCCCCCGGTGTCCGCTCGGGGCATAAACGTGAATATTCGGAGCGATCCATCGTGGAAAGATCTTATGTGATGTGTACAGAGAACCCCCGACCGCCATCCCCCCCCAGACATCGCTGATCACATGGCAGAGAATTGTTACGTTGTATCCGATCATCACTCACCGGCCCCTCCCCCCCTCCGATCACCGCCCGCCACCGGCATCCCGATCCGTGCTCACCACCGGCCGGCTCAGCATCACTTCCGGTCTACGGGATTACTGACAGGAAGCCGATCACCGGCACTGCAGACCCGTCCCTCCGCGTCGTCTTGAATCTGATCACGCTGCATCACTCCCCATCACATGCTGCGTCATCCTGATCCTACTTCATCATCCCCATCACCGGCTGCTTCATTCTGATCCCACTTCTTCATCCCCATCACATGCTGCGTCATCCTGATCCCACTTCTTCATCCCCATCACTGGCTGCGTCATCCTGATCCCACTTCTTCATCCCCATCACATGCTGCGTCATCCTGATCCTACTTCATCATCCGCATCACATGCTGTGTCATCCTGATCCTACTTCATCATCCCCATCACCGGCTGCTTCATTCTGATCCCACTTCTTCATCCCCATCACACGCTGCGTCATCCTGATCCCACTTCTTCATCCCCATCACTGGCTGCGTCATCCTGATCCCACTTCTTCATCCCCATCACCGGCTGCGTCATCCTGATCCCACTTCTTCATCCCCATCACTGGCTGCGTCATCCCGATCCCACTTCTTCATCCCCATCACTGGCTGCGTCATCCCGATCCCACTTCTTCATCCCCATCACCGGCTGCGTCATTCTGATCCCACTTCTTCATCCCCATCACTGGCTGCGTCATCCCGATCCTACTTCATCATCCCCATCACATGCTGCGTCATCCCGATCCCACTTCTTCATCCCCATCACCGGCTGCGTCATCCTGATCCCACTTCTTCATCCCCATCACCGGCTGCGTCATCCCGATCCCACTTCATCATCCCCATCACCGGCTGCGTCATCCTGATCCCACTTCTTCATCCCCATCACTGGCTGCGTCATCCCGATCCCACTTCTTCATCCCCATCCTGCAGACTATTCCATCACTGACCTCTCCCGAGATCTGCAGAGCATCGCTCCTGACAGATCCATATTGACACATCCTGCAGACTATTCCATCACTGACCTCTCCTGAGATCTGCAGAGCATCGCTCCTGACAGATCCATATTGGCACATCCTGCAGATTATCTCATCACTGACCTCTCCCGAGATCTGCAGAACACCGCTCCACCCTGACAGATCCATATTGCCACATCCTGCAGACTATTCCATCACTGACCTCTCCCGAGATCTGCAGAACATCGCTCCTTCCCATCTCCATCCTGACAGATCCATATTGACACATCCTGCAGACTATCCCATCACTGACCTCTCCAGAGATCTGCAGAGCATCACTCCATCTCCCTCCTGACAGATCCATATTGGCACATTCTGCAGATTATCTCATCACTGACCTCTCCAGAGATCTGCAGAGCATCGCTCCTTCCCATCTCCCTCCTGAGAGATCCATATTGACACATCCTGCAGATTATCTCATCACTGACCTCTCCGGAGATCTGCAGAACATTGCTCCGTCCCATTTCATGTCCCTGTTCCGGATTCACACTTCATGTGCGGTAACCAATGCACGTTCATATGTGTTATGTTGCGCGGTGACACGCGTTTCACTCATCCACTACGACTGCCGACTGTTGTCATTTACCATCTGAAATAAGTTACAAAGTAACTCATACGCCCCGAGGAAGGGGGAGGGGCGACACTGTGGATCCCTGAAACGCGTTGGCTGTTTTGTTCTATTGATCTTTATACTGTAAATAAAAACCATATTGGACTCTCACCCCCAGCAGTGGCGCCCCCTTCTTGTTCTATATAAGCACTGCGTTATGGCAGCTCAGTGTTGAATGGGCCGTCAACGCATGCGGCAAAAACTGCACCTGACCCTTTTTTTGGGGGGGGGGGATGCAACACATGGTAGCGTTGTGCCATAGACATGTTCCGAATCAAAAGTCAGAGGAGTTTTCCAAAATTCTGACACGTCCAAATTTCTGAATCCCAATGCGTCCGAATCCGAATTTCTGTTTCCGAATTTTGGATCCTGTCTGAATTTAGTACAAAAACGAAACTGAATGGGACATCATGTGACTTTTCTGGCCAATCAGATGTGTTTTTCGGTGTAATGCATCTGAATGGGTCTGGACACAAATTTTCGTCATGGCAACATGGGAGCCATATATTGGGGGGGGGGATTTATCAAAACAAGAGCAAACAGAATCTGGAGCAGTTGCCCATGGCAACCAATCAGCATCTCTCTTCAGTTTCCTCAGGTAAGATTTGAAAATGAAAGAGAGAAGCTGATTGGCTGCAGTGCAAATCTGCTCCAGTTTTGATAAATTCCCCTCACAGTGTATACATATAAGGCCCCGTTCACATGTAGCGCGATTTCCGCCGCGATATCGTGCATTTTTGCCGCGCGATATCGCGAGAAGTCGCCGGCCAATGCTATTCAATGGAGCTGTCTTAACTCCATGTCGCGCGTCGCGGTCGCAAGTCGCTTCAACCGGACCCTTTTTTCGGCGGATTTTGCTTTTTTTCTATGGAGCCCGGCGGAGAAGGTCGCGCTACCGTCGCTGGATCGTCGCCCCGAAAGTCGCGCTATCCCGGCCGCTGCAAAGGTATGTCGCTACATGTGAACGGGGTCTTATACTAAAGCCGAGGCTCCCAGACCCCAATGGCATTTGGGATCCGAATTTCCGAATACCATTTGGGAGCTCCAGAAAGCAATGGGGGTCTGGGAGCCCCGGCTATAGTATTATATGTATACGCTGTATGTGGCTCCCATGTTGCCATGACGAAAATTCGTGTCCAAACCCATTCAGATGCGTTAAACCGAAAACACATCTGATTGGCCAGAAAAGTCACATGATGTCCCATTCAGTTTCGTTTTTGTACTAAAGTCAGACAGGATCAGAAATTCGGATGTGTCCGTATGTCCGAAAATTCATCTGACTTTTGATTCGGAACCAACCGCACTTGTCTACGGCACAACGCCACCATGTGTTGCATTCCCCAAAAAGTATATGGCTCCCCAGACCCGGATTGCTTTCTGGAGCTCCCAAATGGTATTCGGAAATTCGGATCCCAAATGCCATTGGGGTCTGGGAGCCTCGGCTTTAGTATAAGACCCCGTTCACATGTAGCGACATACCTTTGCAGCGGCCGGGATAGCGCGACTTTCGGGGCGACGATCCAGCGACGGTAGCGCGACCTTCTCCGCCGGGCTCCATAGAAAAAAAGCAAAATCCGCCGAAAAAAGGGTCCGGTTGAAGCGACTTGCGACCGCGACGCGCGACATGGAGTTAAGACAGCTCCATTGAATCTTGGGAGCCTCAGCTTTAGTACTGTATGTATACGGCTCCCGGACCCGAATTAGATGGCCCTGAATGGAATTATATCCGAAACCCGAAATGAATTGAATTCCGGTGATCGATCAAAACTACGAACTTATCGAGTTGTGGGACCGCATTACTTCCGGTTTCCTCAGAACTACGAGGTTTTTACACAAAACATGTTGTGCACGAGCGCCATCCACGGCATTGCCCTATAGACATAGACCACAGCAATAAAGTAATAAAATGATGTAGGATGACAGTAAGCCAGCGCGTTCTTTATCTCAGGTGCCCCACTCAAGCGGCGGCCATATTGAGTGGGGCACCGGAGATAAAGAACGTGCTGGCTTACTGTCATCCTACATCATTTTATTACTTTATTGCTGTGGTCTATGTCTATAGGGCAATGCCGTGGATGGCGCTCGTGCACAACATGTTTTGTGTAAAAACCTCGTAGTTCTGAGGAAACCGGAAGTAATGCGGTCCCACAACTCGATAAGTTCGCACTTTCGACACATCACCGGCTCTGAATTCCCAAATCACGAAATATCCGAACCAAATGTCTCCGCAGCTTAGGCGTCTGTTGCGCCGTGCTGCAGGGGGAGGGGCATTGCCTTAGTCCATTGAGCTGCCATTCCCGGAGCGCATGGCACGGGCACCCGCGGCCCCCGAGAGATACCAACTGACAATCATGGAGATGATTTGTCACGTGCTCACAGGCGACGATCTTACAGGAGTCTGTCGGCTAATGGACTCAGAAGATTCTATTTTCTGCTTCTCGGATGATATTTCCCGGGATCGCTCCCCACTGAGCGGCTGCGTCACTGTAAATAATTGCTCCCATCTGAGGACAGCAAACCCTCTAATTTCCCTTCTCTATATCTATATACCCTCCCCCATCTGTACACAGCTCCTGGAAGGTCACCCCCTCCCCCGTCTGTACAAATTGTTTCCTCTTCTAGTGCAAAACATTCTATATCTGGATTTTCATTTCTTTTCAGATAATACCCCCGAAACGCGTCGCGGGCTCACCCGAGGGGCGGAGTCTGATATTAGAGCGGAGGCAGAACGCCGGGGTGACAGATCTCCGCTGGTCTCCCGCAGCACTTAGTGATCACAATGTCTCGTGTGCAGTGGAAGGATGAGAGCGCCGCACGCCGTAGGGATCAGTCCAGATCTCAATTTGTATTTATCACAATGAAAGGTTCTATCAAGAGTCGACGCGTTTCGAGGGTCACACACGGATCCCGCTTCACCTGGGCTCAGGATTTATTGTGCATCAGTAACAGGGGCGTCCCGAGGCCGGGTGTCCCCCGGAGCGGAGACCCGGTGACACCCCGCGCGTGACGTCACTGCGCATGCGCGACTAGCTAATTGACGCCTGCCGGTGTTCCGTCGAGATCTCCAACTCGTCGAGATCTCCAACTCGTGACGTCATATCCGTTGCAGGTTTAGACGAGACGGCGCTGGGGCGCGCGCGGCAGCCGTCGCAGTTTTTGCAATCCTCGTTGACTTCTCCACTTCCAGTAGGTGCGTCGGCTTAGAAATCGTCATCGGGTTCTCCAACTGCCGTCGGTGCTTGTGGCATCGGGGTGACCCGCGCAGGCGCACAACCGCAGACGGTCCAGCTTGGTACTTCTCTTGGGTGGCTGCGCAGGCTCCCTGATGGGAGTTGGGGGTCTCGACGGGTTGGAGAATTCGACAGAACACCGGTCGGCCATCTTGGTGATGGACGCTGGCAGAGAGAGGAGGGGACAGTCACCCGGTGATCGATCAAAACTACGAACTTATCGAGTTGTAACCAGTAATCAGGGTTATCCTGGAATTGGATTCCCTATCTGGAAATTCAGCTGTCGTGCGGAGGAAGGCGGGGGGGGGTGTCGGATTTTGCAGGACACAGATGCACGGCACAGTAACAATTTGGGTATTTGTGATTCATGAAGTGATCGGTCCCCCGGAAATCGGACAATGTGAATGCGGTTTGTAGATAGAAGTGATCCGCTCATCGCAATTCATCATCCGGAGTATATCACATAATGTGTCTGGTCTCAGGTGGCGGGATCGATAACCTTCTATAGGGAGCAGCTGCACTCTGTCATATCGGCTGCCTGGGGAGGTGACCCGGTCATGTGACCGGGAATCTGATGTCACTTCTGTTCAGCCGGATAAACTAATTTGGAACGTAATGCAACGTGTGGACGGAGCAGACGGCCTCCCCGAGAGGACAGTCACCGCGCACCGTGCGGCGCCTCCCGGCAACGCTCCGCCGTCACACAACCTGCTGATTCCCGACACCGAGCCGGGGAATGTGTCAGTGTAGGGATCGCCGCGGCAGCTCATCGCACAATAACATTTAGCTCTGCTTGCCCAAAGCCGGGCTACATGTAGAAAACAACTACCCGCCCGGTGCCTGGAACTGCATGTACCAGGCATCGGGAGATAGGAATGTTACACCCCCTGCCGCCCCTCTACTCCCTGCCGCCCCTCTACTCCCTGCCGCCCCACTACTCCCTGCCGCCCCACTACTCCCTGCTGCCCCAAGGCCGGGCCTCGGTTTAGGGTTGCCACCTTTTCTTCAAGCGAAACCCGAACACTCTAGTAGCCTCTATCTTCATTTTGGTTGCCCCTGTCTGCCTGACATCTTGTGTCCGGGTTTCTGCGGCCATGAAATCCGGACACAGCATTCAAAACCCGAACTGTCCGGGTGAATCCTGGACAGGTGGCAACCCTACCTCGGTTGGCCCTTTACTCCCTGCTGCCCCAAGGCCGGGCCTTGGTTGGCCTTGTGGGAAATCCGGCTTCCCACTCATCTACAGGGTTCTCCTATTCTGTGCTGTTATGCAAACTCAGGTGCCGGGAGACAGTGTTTCTTAACACCATGAGTTTAGGCAATAGCAACTGGCAGACAACAGGGGGCCCCTCCGAACAAGTCTCCCCTCCCCCCGATGATTAGTCTACTGCAGTCAGGAGGGAGCATTTCCTCAGTCCCCCCTCCCCCAGTGATCAGTCTGCTGCAGGCAGGAGGAAGCATTTCCTTAGTCTCCCACCCCCAATGATGGTGTCCCTCGTTAATGCCTGAACAAAGATGGTGCCGCCCCTTTGGAGAGAAAAGCAGATGAAGGCATTGTCAGGCTGGTTGACAGCCTGAGCGGTGTTCGAGTGTCACCCGCCGAGATGTCACCGCGCATGCGCGATGACATCATCGCGCACGCGCGACCGTGATGGACGCAGGCAGAGAGAGGAGGAGACAGTGACCCGGCGGCACACCTTATCCCGCCGGGTCCCCTCCTCTCTCCTGATACTGTCG